TAGGAACAATTTCACTCAAAGTATACCTAGACACAGGAGAACTATTGTCGTGAAAGTGTTGTACAGTCGATTACAAATTTAGATTGCAGAGAGTTTGTTCTGAGCGCTAAAGGCACTCACAATAGAGGACATTGTGCTTTATTCTAACAAAGACAGGGTTGAGTGACGCATGGAAATTATTGGAAGCTGACCTACAGGCAAAGTGGTACCTTGAACATCAAGACTACAAAGAGGCCAAGCGGAAACGTGCCCGTCAGTGGCGCCGGGAGTACCTTGAGCTCAAATCAGCAGCGGTCCAGAAAGCAAAGAAGGGCAACATCAAGGCCCACAGCCGACGGACTCGAGTCCAACGGATGGCACAGAAGGAAGAGACTCGACGGCGACAGAAAGCTCAAGGCAAAGGTTTTTCTGGTGGCCTACAGCAGATTAAAATGGCCCAGGTGGCACAAGATGGTTCCTCCCATTGGGTCACATGCCAGTCTAAACGCCTGGTGGAGGAGGGCTGCATGCACGAGAACTGGCTACGGTATGACCAGACGCGCTACCCCTACCCTACCCCACCAATGACTGAACCTTTGTACTCCGACTTCAACGGCCCCAACGCAGAACAGAACAGCAAAGCATTGCTCCAAGGCCTATATGAAATTGAGACATCGGACCCTTACTTGGTGTCATTCATTGACCAGTGTTGACGGCCGGAGGGCTTGGAAGACCAACCACTGGAGGTGGACCTTGAGGATCATGTTAGCTTCTGGCATAAGATGGGGGAGCATAAAGGCTCGGAACCACACGGTCTACATAATGGACATTACAAAGCGGGCGTAGAATCAAACCTGCTTGCTTGCTGTGACACAATCGCTCCATCCCTTTTGCGACAGGATTTGTCCCAACCCAATGGTGCAATTTGCTCAATTTTGCGATTGAAAAGAAACCATGCAAAATTTGGGTGGACCTCATGGGCACGATTCAAATGATGAACTCTGAACTCCAAGCCAACAACAAAAGGGCGGGGAAATCGGCCATGGCCTATGCCGAGAAGCACAAACTGATCCCTACAGGTCAGCACGGTTCTCACAAGCGTCACCAGGCCATTGATCTGGCTCTTACTAAGCGGCTCACATGGGACCTTCTACATCTCCAACGCCGTCCTGCGGGGTGGATATCCAATGATGCCAAGTCCTGCTTTGACCGCATTGTCCACTGGGTGGCTATCATTAGCCTGATGCGCTTTGGGATTCAATGGCGTACCCTTCGCTCCATGTTTGACACCCTGATGAAGTCTAAACACCGGGTCCGTATGGGGTTTGGTGATTCGGACCGTGTCTTTACTCCTCCGACTCTGACCCCATTCCAAGGCTGTGGACAGGGCAATGGGGCAGGACCTCCTATCTGGTGGCAATTAGCTCCATTCTCTTGGGGATGAAAGGCTTTGGCTTTGATTTTCTGATGCCAATATCTTGGGCTCCGCTCTTGGCTGATTGCTTCTGTTTTGTTGACGACACTGATGTCTGCCAAGCTGCACCATCTCCGGACCAGTCCGGTGAATCTATTGTCCCAGAGGTGGCCAAAGCACTGAAATGGTGGTCCAACGGCGTCCGCCTAACTGGTGGCGCCATCCGACCAGACAAATCCTTTTGGTATCTGATTGACTTCAAGCGGAATGCGCAACAAGGTGTATGGAAATTCCGGAAGAAACGAGATTTTAAACCATCTCTTCTTCCAACAGGCAGTTCGGAAATTGCGGTTGAATTAGATGATCTGGATGGCACCTCTGTGCATCTAAAGTGGCTCGAAGCGGACAAATCGGCCAAGACTTTGGGTATTCTGATGTCCCCCTGCCCCAACAGGAAAGCTCAACTCGCGGTTATGCAGGGGAAAGCAAAGGCATGGGTGGACTAGATCCAACCTAGTTTCCTTCACCGCTATGATGTCCTTCCTCTCCTTCGCACCACAATCCAGAAGACTTTGGAGTACATGGCGCTCACCCTCTTCTCTCCACAGGAGTGGGACCAGATACTGTCCCCAGTGCTCCGGGTGGCACTGCCCAAGGCTGGTATCTGCCGCAACTTTCCTCGTGCTATGGTCTACGCCCCCATCGCACTCCAGGAAGTGGGTGTCCCCCATCCGTACGGCCTCCAAGTCATCAAGCACTTAGACATGCTGCTTTGCCATCCGGCTAACCAGACCAAAACGGGCGCCTTCTTGGAGGCAGTCCTTCAGGCACATCAGCTCGAGACCGGTACTGTTGGAATTGCTCTCTTGGAGACCATTCATTGGAAACTCCTTGATAGAAGCAGTTCGACACGTCCGATCGGACAGACGGACAAATGTCCGTTTGGTCCGTTCATTCGGGGGATTCCTATGAGTCGGTTTTGCAGGGAATCCAAAAACATGGAATTGTGCGCTTGGACTATCAAACTGTCTGAGCGCCACGAAAATCCCATACTGAATCCTGCGGGAGTTCTGTACGTGGGTTTTGTACCGGCCTTTCTGGATTGCAAACATCCAGTAAAGGTTTGGGAAATTTGAGTTTTCGTGCAAGGCTTTTGCTTTGCCCATTCCATGTAGATAACAAGTCTTTTAGAATAGTTATTTCCTGTAGAGATGATTATTTCCTATTAGACGGATCGGAGATCGCTATGGTTAGTGCCTATGCATGACGGCTTGATGGGTCGCATGCTGGCACGGCTGGTTGGCAATCATGGCTTGATGGGCCACAACGTTGTCAATCGGTTTGGACGAAGACAAGCAGTCTGATGTCCGCCAGAACCGATTTCCAACAGGTACCTCCTATGGCCTCTTCCAACAAGTCTATTCCAACACCTCCATCCTGGCCTCTGATACGTGGGCCAAGCGGACCTGGAGTGAACTTGATTCTCTCTCCATACATCTGGAGTTTGATTCTCCCTCCCTCCAACCAATGCGCCAAGGGGATCAACTGTTAGTGGACTTGTTCATTGACTCTTTGGTGGATCAGCTTACATTGAAATGGCTCAACTGGTGTCGGATCTTCCTTCACGCTGTCACTCTCTCCGATATCGTGAATGCTGAAGGGACAGCAATCACTTGGGACGCATGGACAGGGATACGAGCAGATTACCTTGCTGACCGGTACCAATGGCCCCGTACTGCTCGTCCGTCTAATCAGTGGTGGACTATGTGGCAGCAATGGATTTCTACTCACCTGACAGGCCACTCCAACCGACGCCGCCTCAGCGATCCGTTAGGCCCGTGGCACTCAGCTGACTTGCCCTGGAAGTGGCAATACTCTCCCTCTACCAGCTGCAATTTGGGGCTTTTCGCAGGCTTTCCTCCAGCTTCGTACTTTGTACGTTCACTTTCCTACGATGGCCATTCGAAGTATTCATGACCACCGGAATCTGGAATTCTTCTTCTCTATTTCTTTCGTAACCTTTCTATACGGTCAGCTGGGTAGAGTTCAGATCCTACAAAATCAAACACAAACTGAAACTTTGATGTTCGAAACAAGAAACCATCGCAATGGAATAAGTATCGATGGTTGATTATGACCTCCCAAAAGCCTTGTATGAAAATATAAAATTATTATTTTTTATATCCTGTATCAAGTATACTATACATTCCAGGATTATCTTGAAACAATTCCACAGATAGAGCTCATTTGAGCAGAATATCGATTTGGCAGTATTTGTGATCTGTCGAAGAGCGTCTTGCGGAGAAGCTTTCAAGCAATATGGATCACTGCCAATCTATGGTAAATAAATTGAAGTCAAAGTGTTCAATGTGCTGCGGTAGACTAGAGGCAACTCCAAAGACAGTAAATAAACAAAACTAGGACAACCTCGATTTTCGGAAACTACAAAAATGCCAATTTCAACCCCAAGGCTATTTCGCCACTTCTTTTGGCCTTACCATATTGCACCAACCTATGGGAGTGCATTCCAGAATAATTTCGAAACCGTTTGATGAATGGGGCATATTTGAGCACCATATCCATCGTCACATTGATGTCGCCGCCAAAATCAGCTCCGAATGAATCAGTTTTCCTTAGAAAATTTCTCGCCTTCGTGCGCACTTCCTTGGAAGCGGGCTGATGGCTGACGCCCACTATGAACTTGTACCAACTCGGTTCCATGTCTACCATTTGATATATTTGTTGAAAATGAGTTTGGCGCAGACCGTATCATGGTGCGAACCGTAGGAGTATATTTTGAAAAAGAACAAGCGATCAGGAACATTGCAAATTATGATGCATACAATTTTGGAACAAAGTCGTGGAGCATGGTGGCAAGCATCATTAGAGAGACATCTGCAACGATATCGGTGACAGCCCCCATGCGACACATGCAACATCACAAGGTGCTCTTCAAACAAGGTGGAGCAGTGCCGCCTTCACCAAAAATAATCTCTTTCAACACCAGCAGAATTTGTTACATGAGTCCATGAGTCTAACCTTGGAATCCGCCCAGGCACTTCGAGTGGAAACTTGCTGGCCGCAACAGTACGAACGAGTTGACAAGCTCATGCAAGTTTAGGAAGAAGTGGATTCGACGAGTCTCAAGATATCCCAGACTTACCACTTGAAAATTGGATTTGGAGCTGCTTCGAGGCGCAATCAACCACAAGCAGGAAGACCTCCCTCCGCCTTCGGGGAAACGTTGATATAATGCTTTCTCCAAATACCAGGAGCTCAGGGATATAAATTTGAACTTGATCATTGCTTTTCTCGAGATCAACGGGAAGGCACCGCCGGACATTGTATCGCTATCCTGATCGCATCCTATATTCATTGATTCCCAGTTTCGAGAATCATCGTCAAAGAGTCTCAGAAGGTGGACAACCTTTCCATTGTTGTCTTCTACCCTTCCATCGATAGTAACGTCATTAAACTCACATAGAATAATCGCTGTGGAGCTTGTAGATCATGATAGAAATGTGGATGACTCTTAAAATTGGCAAACTCAATTTCCAATTCTTCTCCCTCTGCATCAACCGACATGTTTTGTTCTACATATACATCTGTATCTATGTCTATATCTGCGTCCATAGCTGTGTCGATAGATTTGCTGAATGAGCCCAAGTATGAATTTCAAAATTGTGATCATGATTCGGATGGATTGAGACAAAGAGAACTAATTGAGATCGCTCCATTTTTGAAAGAGTTCATCTGAGCAGAGAACCAAACTCTGTCAACTTTGTGTTTCGATGAAAGAAAGGGATTCCGACGAAAGGAGCAGGGATGTTCGAATGCCCGATTACCGTATACGTGTGTTGAATGACATTGGAATGACATTGGAATGACGTGGAACAGCGCTTCAGAATCAACATACGGTATGTCCTCTTCGGCCCACGAAGCCCAGCTTGGCCAGAAAATCAGCATTGCTAAAACCCTCGAGCTTCGACCAACTCGATTTCAAAATTTAATGGGTCATTTTTTAACGAAAGGTCATTTCGAGTTGATGACCTGCCAGTTGGAAGAAAACAAGAAGATCGTAAAGATCGTACCCACAGTACTCCAGAGCGATATCTGATAGTCATCGCGTCACACTTTTTTAATTGTTGCAGATAATCGTGCAGCCCTTCCTCCTACAGTAAGATACAAAAAGCAAATTGTAAGCATGTCCTCCGACGACGAATCCGAAGGATCCGAAGATGCCCGAATGAAGCAGCTCCTTTCGTCTTGGGATGATGACAATGGAAGTGGCGACGACTCCTCTTCTGAATCTGAAGAAGAAGAGGAAGAGGAAGAAGAGAAAAAGGTTGGAGCCACCAAGTTTGACTTGGGTCTACAAGACAATGTCCTCGATCACATTGTCCTTGCTGCACCAGATTTCCAAGATGCTATGAAGGAGTTCGAAAACATGACTGGTATCAAACCATCTGTTGTTGGATCTCTTCGCGGTCTCGGAACAAAGAGTGCTCGTGTTGGTCTTGACAACAATGCTTATATTGAACTGATTGCACCTGATCCAAAGAACTCCGGACCTATCGGAGCTGCACTTGCCTCTCAATTGGAAGAGGGACAATTGATGCCATGGCATTATGCTATCCGTTCCAGCGAGGTTGAGGCAATGAAGGATGACTATGTTCCCAACGAACTTGGTTGGCAACCTGACCACATTTCCATGTTTGGAGCTTCCCCAGATGGAACTCCAAAGAAGTGGGAGATGCTTTACATGTATGGTCACAAGATTGGAGGTGTTGTCCCGTTCTACATTGACTGGGGACACTGTGACCACCCCTCTGCAACCATTCCAGAGGTTGGAGCCCTGAAAAGCCTTGTCGTGCGAGCCCCCGGAGGACACAAGGTGCACGACCTTTTGTCTTCAGTAGAAGGTGTCACTGTAGAGGAAGGTGAACCAATGCTTGAATTTTCTTTCGGCAGCCCAGAAGGAACTATTACTTTTTCTGCGGACAATCCACATGGAATTAAGTTCCCAGGATTTGAAGAAGGAGATACAGGTGCCAGTGGTGCTCCAGGTTTGTGTAATTTTCGCTCATCTTTGTTTCCTCGTTCCCGATCCGTGTCTCACTTTTTCTTGTTATTTTCTTTTTGAATTGCAGACAAACCAGAAATGATTCCGACTGGAGGAGGTGGCGACAAGAGCGACGATGACTCTGATGTCCAAATCTCGGACAGCGACAGTGACTAAGGCATTCGTTCGTGGCAAATGCGTTATAGATGTTATTAGAAATTTCATTAATTCCTACCTTATAATCCTCTCTTGTTAATAAAACCGTCAACAATGTTTTTTTAAATCAAAACTGCAATTCAACTTTCGGCAATCATAGCTCTTGCTATTGGCCTCTCTCATCAAATTTGACAGTACAAAAAGGAAGATCAGTTTCGGGCCGGTAATCAGGCAAGAATTTTGGAAATTCATAACATGTTGAAGTGATATTTTTCAAACGGGAAGTCTAGTGATAACGTCGTAAGGCTATAGCCAGCATGGAATCACAAACTTGCATCTATCGATTCCACAGAAGTTCAGATGCGTCCAAGTCTCTAACACTGTCAATTGTCTTCATATATATTTTGCTGGCACGACTTTTGTTGTATGTAGCCTGTCGGCTTGGTGGAAGACTCCCAACGCCCACTTCATCAAATCCCCTTTCGAGGAACCATTCCATCGTTTGCGTGCTCAGAACAAATACCTTGTTTGCACCCTGTTGTAGGCATAGTCTTTCAAGGTATCCAAGCATCGCATCACCTCTGCCTTTCGCCCTATAAAGTGGGTTTACAACAAGACAAGCCAACTCGGCAGACCCTTCTTTGAACAATTTGAGTTGACCCGTAGCAACTACTAAATCATCACGAGTGTAGACATGGTACTGGTGAATATCTCTCTCCAGTATAGCTTTTGGGCGATCAACCAACGTTCCCATCTTGATCAAAGGGGAAATCAAATCGTGGATTGGAGAAACATCAGTAACCCGCGCTTGTCTAATACCGTCATATAGGTCTCCCGAAATCATAGTTCCCGCACCATCGCGAGTGTACATTTCTTGTAGAAGAGCCCCCTTTTCTGGGGTAAGGATATGAACTCTCTTTACTCCACTTTCCAACGCATGCATAGACCAACCAATCTTCACAAGCATATTCTTCTGTTCGTCACTGTTAATGCACTCATCATTGACAAGTACAAAGCCCTTCTTCTTCGTCTCGATGCCATGCAGTTTCAGGAGATTTCGACTGTCGTGAACTCGGAGGTGAGGAATTTTCGTACCATAAACTTTGTGACGCAGTTCCACATCTCGTTCGAGAAAATATACGACCTTTGAAGCACCCAAAGCGCCGCCAGCATACGCCGCCAAATATTCTGAATTCACATTGAAGACCTCACCGGTTGGACTCACACCTAGCGTGGTTAGCAGGACAATGTCTCGATTCTGATGCACTTGGCGGATTTTGTCGGCCTCAAATCGACGAACGAAACCACTGTATTGATAGTCTACACCGTCCAGGACTCCAAATGGTTGAGCGCTATAAAAATTTCCTGAAACTACGTTCCCGTCCCCTTCTCGGCCCCTTGAACCTTGAAGTGATCGTGCAAGCTGACGCTCGACTTCGAATCGCACGTATCCTGCTTCTTCCTTGACTATCCTTAATGATTCAGCGTCTGTGACCACCATATTCATGTGCTTTGTGCGGTTCTTCATCCGCTGTTCAATTTGATAGCGGCAGCCGACAACAATCACAATCCTCAATCCAAGAAGCCATGTCAGCGCCACATCGTTCATCAGATTGCGGAAAATGGTTGGGTCTTCATTGTCGATCCAATCTCCAGGAATGTGACAGACCACGAGTGTATTGCGATGGCTTGCAATATAGTTGGCTGAGCCCCTAAACATATCAACAAAATGTGCAGTTCGAAACATATCTGATACTGATGAAGAGACAGTAGCGCCGTCCTCCTTGCTGCTGTAGTTTTTTTTTACAATATCAATCAATTCTGGATTGATGTCCAAAACGCTGGGCATGTCAGTTTGGATGCCAGAGTTAACAGCGGTAGACGATTCATTTTTCGCCTGCAGCTGGTTTCTGAATCCATTCTTCGGTTCAGCATTCAAGTCTGCATCGATAGTGGAGGAGGAGTTCGCCATGTACCGTCTAGTAACAATAATTGAGTTGCCTCTGAACGAACCATATCTGGACTGCAAATTGCGGTTGGCAACGAATTTGGAAGGACTTGGAGCAATCCACCCTTTGGTCAAGACAGCATTAGCAAGTACGCTGAATAGCACTGCTGTTATCGCAAAGCCATGCTTCATCTTTCCATTCACTTCGTCGGTTTTGGTGTCTCTTCTAGCATAAATTCGCAGCTGTACAGCTGCACCCCCCTGAATTTTTTAGTTTGCGCGATTTGTGCGCGTTGCAATGCGGACATTAGTGCAATCGATAAAATAATATCTTGTTATTATTATTTTAACCGTTTCCTGATCAGACAATACAAATCAATACATTTGCGATTTTGTATTGATTCTACGTGGCATTTGTACTGACTCTATTGTGATTTTCCGAAGTCGTGTTGATAGTGTTTTTAATCGGTATAAGTATACAATACCGATTCCAGAAAGTTTTATGTTGTCCGCACTTTCTACGAGTCGCGCCGTAAGAAAACCACGCAAAATTCGCAGCCCGTGTAGACTAACTACGGCGCGAAAA